CAAAGGTTCAATACAGCCTTCCTTCGAGATAATGACAAGCTCCATGAATTCAATATAACTCTCAACAACAGGTTCCAAGCTCTACAGGATTTACTGAAAGAACAAGAAACTACTTTGGAGGACAACTGGAAAGGGATAAAAGAAGCACTAACTTCAACGTGTCAGGAGGTTCTTGGTTCTACGAAGCATCATCACAAGGAATGGATCTCTATGGGAACCCTGGACAAAATTCAAGAAAGAAAGAACAAGAAACTAGCAATTAACAACAGCCGAACACGAGCAGAGAAAGTCAAAGCACAAGCAGACTACGCAGAAGCAAACAGGGAAGTGAAGAAAAGCATTAAAGCCGACAAGCAGAAATACATGGGAGAACTAGCAACGACGGCAGAAAAAGCTGCAAGGGAAAGAAATATGAAACAACTATATGATACAACGAAGAAATTGGCAGGAAGATATAGCAAACCAGAGAGACCAGTCAAGGACAAAGGAGGAAAGACAATCACGATATCGATTACGCACCCAAAAACGACTTGGTTCCTTTGATAACTCGTAAATCAGAAGGCTTTATTAATCCAGATCAAGTATATTTATAGGCGATCTCGTGGTATCGAAATAATGCCGAAACGTGCCAACGGGTACAAGCGAAATGAGCAGAGCGTAAGAAAGTTCGAACGGAACAAGGCGGATAGCGAAACAAGAAGTGAGTCTGATACAGTTAAACAAATACAGTAAAACAATCACTGGTACAATTGGTTACAATAATAATAATTGTATAAGAAAAAGAGAATTCAGCGAAGAAAATTTTCTTTTCGACGAAATCATTTACTTAAGCTGTACATTCGTATATATAGTTATATGGAAAATATATGTCTACAGGAGGCTAGTAAAGATTGCATTATTATACTCCTACGATGCACGCTCAACGTACAATTTAAATTGAATGATGGTTTCTATAGACAAACAGATGGAGTTGCAATAAGCTCTCCATTGGGTCCTCTTTTGGCTGATTGTTTCATGGCCAATCTAGAAAATTCAGCACTTCGTCCAATAATCGAGAAATTTCATTTATATAAGAGGTATATGGATGATACTTTCATTATTTGTGATGAGGACATGGACCATAATAAAATATTAAATATTTTCAATAACTGTCATCCTTCAATTCAATTTACCTTAGAGGCAGAATCGAACCACGAATTCCATTTTCTGGATGTCCGTTTGAAAAGATTGCCTGATGGTTTTTTACAAAGATCTATGTATAGAAAATCCACTTGGAATGGACAATATACGAATTTCCATAGTTGGGTTCCACTGAGTCGAAAAAGGAACTTAATTCACTCTTTATTATCTAGGATTAAGCGAATCTGTTCTATTGACACAATAAATGAAGAATTACTTCATCTTCGACAGACCCTCATCAAAAACGGTTATCCACCGAGGTTCGTCGATAGCAACTTAACATCTAGACGTCAGCAAGAAATAACTTTGACAGTGCAGAAGAAAACCTTGTTTATGAATATGGAATTCAAGGGAGACACGGCTGCTGAAATCCTAAATAAACGGATTTCAAAAACGTTGAAAAAAACTTTCTACACAGCCAAGCTCCGAATCGTTTTCTCTAGCCGGCCTATTATTCGGGGGTGTGTTAAGGATAAACTTTCGCTTTGGGCCACATCGATGTGTATTTATAAATTTACTTGCTCATGTGGAGCACGTTATATAGGCCGCACAAAGCGATCGCTTTCCAAACGTATCTCTGAACACTATCCAGCTTGGCTCCTAAAAGGTGAATGTAAAAAGATAACCAGTTCGATTCAAGAGCACTTGATCAATTGTGGACACATTGCTCCAAAAGACACGTCTTTTAAAATAATCTATAGAGTTAAAGGAACCGGATCAAAGGGAGGTGGAATCAATATTTTATGCACTGCTGAGGCATTGGCAATCCATGAATTCAAGCCTGAACTTTGCGTGCAGAAACGATTTGTCCAACCTCTTACCCTTCCTTGGCCCTAATTCCCTCATTGGGTACGTTTTTTGTACTTTTATCTGATTATTATAGGTTTTTTTGTTTTTTAAATTACTATTTTACATTTAAACTCTAATCAGTCATTATTATTATTACATTATACAAGTTTTCTTGATTATTATTCAGATTATTATTATTATTATGACCTTTGTGTTTGTCGCTTTTCTTCATATCTGTCAATTGAACTATTATCTGACCCATAAATTATTTTCTTCCTTACCCCTTCGATTAGTACGTCACCTCATTTGTTATTTATTTTCGAATCAATTTATAATGCAATCTTTCCTAGCCTCCTGTAGACATATATTTTCCATATAACTATATATACGAATGTACAGCTTAAGTAAATGATGTCGTCGAAAAGAAAATTTTCTTCGCTGAATTCTCTTTTTCTTATTCAATGACATTATGAGTTATTTTAATAATAATTGTTTCTATTGTTCCAATCGTGTTCTTATCGAGACTGGCCGGTCACTACACATTTACCAAACCTGTGTTCACTTCTGTAACCTGCTTTGCAATTCTTTGTTGAATTACTTTTCATATTTCCACGAGAATGAGAACCATTATTAGACAAACGCCAGCTTCAGCTACCCTAAAATTGTGGTTCATCATGACGGCTAAGCAAAATATTAAAAAATTCACTGACTGAAAATCAAGTTCATTGACTGCCTAATAAATAATACATGATATTTTAATTTCTTGAACTAACTTTTTGAGTTTCTGAATTAATTCTCATTCTAACATCGGAATATTATTCCCAGAGATCAATCGATCATGAAGTTGAGTTTCGAATTGTTCTCCGAAATTACACTTCGCAGCCTGTTTCCGTAATTCAAGTATAAAGTCCTTAACTTTCTGATCATTTTGTTGTACCATTTTATGAAACTCCAATCTCTCTTTGTATTCAAAGCTAACACATTGTACATTTTATTTAGAGAAGTTCAGTAAACAGTTCATTATCTAGTAAATAATCTTCTAAGACGGCCTTACTTTCAGCTTAAGGGATTATTTGGGTAGTGTTCAGAGATATTCTATTGACTCTACATATTCATGGAACCAGAGGAAGTGTTTGATGTATAGTAACCAAAATATTCCGGAAAATTCAAATTTACAAACTTAAGTGTTCTACATGTTTTTGGAGAGATATTATATCGGCAAAGTGAAGGATAAGTTATTTGAAAGTCATATCGATACCTAGTTTGTGATAGAAAAGTCATTATTCCATTGTTATTACTATTAATATTGTTATTTTTTCTTTTTATTATCTATTGTATTAAGGATTCAGTTATTCAAATTATACACACACCTTATCTTCCAATTAAAAATCTATCATTTCCTATTTATCACCAGTCACAACTATTCAAATGGTACTTCATTGTTTATACTTAAGTTTTTACACTACTTGTCCATGTTTTTAATGAATGATCAATTGGTTTTAAAACTTTCATATTTAAGATATTTAGGTAATGTATATTTGGTAACGCAGAAGGAGTTAAATTAAAGTAAATATCTACTTCTTCAGTAAGACAATTGATGTGTCCTATCAATTTCATAAACTCTTTAAATTTATAAATTTACTTAGGAATTATTGGTGTTATTGGTGTTCTGGAGTTAACTGACTGGTCTAGGCAGAAGCAGGACTGACAAGTGCTGTAGACTGCTTGTACGGGTTTCGTGTATCGCTGGTATGATCGATAAACCGCTGTTCTCTAATTGGAGGTCTTATTACTTCATGCATTAACAAGAAATCCACTTGGCCACAAGTCATAACCGATCGATGTGCGGACATGCACTCAATCAGACTCACACATAAATTTGCATAATGGATTAAATATCTAAATTATAGCAAGTACAATAGTTGAATTGGCTCACTACAAAACAGCAGGTATGTTTAATTTACTAAATGGAGTTTGTTTTTCACAACAATTATTTCTCTCTTCATTTTGAACAATAATATTCATTTTTATCAAATAGAACCCAAATTTAGATTGAATATATTTCATACATCCAAATAAACAGTGAAGTAACAACGAAACTTCCTTTCGAAAGAAGCAATTTCAGATAACATCATAACTGTTTAGAAGTGAATTTTTTTGTTTGAAAATTATAATGAACGAGAAGAACGTCCGTGATTGTGAGTATTAGTTTTGGATATTAGAAATTATGTTACTGGAATTCCGATCAACGTCAATAACCATCAAGTTTCAGTGAATGTAATGGGAACGGGAATATCAAAGTGTGATTCTTATCACCCTACCAATACTGAGAAACCAGCAAACTTCATTATTATTTGACACTAGATGTATTATGAAAGCACAGGAAGATAATTACCAGATGATTCTCTTAATTAACTCATTAAGTTTTGTGAAATATGTAAAAGCGGTTAGTACTAAAGTGACTAAATGATCATCATCAAAATTAGTGTTCAAACAAAATGTTCATTCTGTACACACGTATTCATATACTTATGTTAGGTTTATCAAATGCAAAACCGGCTAATATCTAAACTGTTTTAAAAATTCAAGTTAAAAGGAATGGAGAAAATGACGAACAGTTTTTCTCATAATTTATTTTCTACCAGCAACATAGATGAAGCTGTTCATTTACGAAATTGGATAATTTTCCGTAGTTTAATTCACCAGCTGTTCTTAGCTAGACAAAAGATTAGAATATAAGAAGCCCTGAGTAATTGGTCGGTTATAGTATAACTCTCCTCATAAGTGTTAACCTGAGATTTCACAGGATATCAAACCTAGGACCTTCGGTCATACTCACGTGTGTCTAACTTGTAGACCACTCGTAAATTAGAACTGTTTGGCAGACGTTAAACCACTTGCATCTTTGTTTAATATTTTCATTTTGTTAATCTTTCTTTAACTACGGTTGAAAATTTACTTCTTGTTAACAGATCCAGTTTTGTGTCAATTACAAGGCATGGAATAAAGCATTTAGTCAATTCCATTTCCTCATGAAGCGTACTAGGCATTTAGTTGTACGAGTAGTTCAACTTGCAGTCATAATATTCATAAGTTATGAAATGACACGATTACTATTTCAATACAAATGGGATGAAAAATTCGGCATATCACGAAATGATGGTGATTTCTTCTACAACATATTACCACATAAAAGTTATTCAAGTTTGACGGGTAATTTAAATCAAACCTATTATGTTTCGTCACAAATGGAGAAGTATGAAAACAAAATTACACTCGGATTTACCGAGAAAGATCTTGAAGAATTATATAAAGTGAAATCTGCTCCAGCTGCCGTGAGTTTCTTTGAATGACTTTTTTACTAGATTTCCATAGTAATTGCTTAAATTGACAGGACTTCAAATTTTCTCTTATACATTGTGTCATAATCACTCTGATCCTACTTTTACTTTACAAATGAATTAATGACGATCTCCTTATTTCAGACTTTTATTTTACCTAATTACGATACTGGAAACACTCAAGTTGTACTAATGTTCTGGTTGTTTGGTCAGCGTCATTACGAAAAAGAAATTTCCGTGTCTGTCTCATCAATTAGAGTTGGACACAACTTCAATTAAACTAAAACTATGTTGGCAGTAAATAATATAAGGTCAGGTAGTATTAAACTGAGTTGACATCCCAGCTTCAATTGTTGAAGCAACGTCACATCATGTTGGGATGTTAAAACCATTTAATATTCTTGTGTGTATTAAAGTCGTTAGATTTCAGAAAGCTTACACGTTTTCATAATTCATATTAAAATGGGTATCGATACAAAGAATCTTTGTATTATTGAAAGTGCTATCTAAAGGTCTCTTCCACAAAAATAATCAAATGAACAGCGGTATTCAGCAGTCCTTTTACCACAAGAAAATATGAATGTAGAGTATTCTTTGTAATAACTGGTCATCAAACTCTACACCTATGCAGCCGCTTTATTATTCAGAAGATGTAGCCAATTTTAAGACAAATGGATTTTCAGTAATCATGTTTGTGAACTTAGAATTGATTGCAGATGCCGAAATGACTAATATGCAGTGCTGCCTTAAGTTAAGTTTTGAATGGAATAAAATTGTGAGAATAATTTTAGTATTAAATACAGTTAACGAAAGATGAGGAAATAATCACAGGATTATGTTGAGACAACTATCTTTAATACCTTTGAAGACACTATGCCTATATTTCTGTACAAAATTAATAATAATAATATTCATTTATTCATCGCATGTAATATGTTATTCACATATATGTTATTCATATATCTCAATTGTTGAGTGAATTTCTCAAGAGGTAAAGTCTATGAGCTGTCTATTGCCGTCAGATTCGTCATGAACTCAGACCTCCTAGTCCTATCTAAATGAAGATGATTACCGGTACTTACTACAGATATTTTAAAATTTTGCTGTAAATATTATGACAAAACTTCTATCATTCTGTATAGAATTCGCTTATTGAATTGAAGTATGTCTTTCATTAATTGTTTTTTGCAGAGAAAAATAATTCTTAACTATGGAGACCTTTACATCAATATTATTCGAAACTTCTCATTTTGTTTCGCTTGTGATTGTGAACTGATTTTCGATAGATCAAGATGGCTTGAAGCAGATGTTATAATCTTGACAGATCACTTGTATCCTAAAGGTCCAAGACCACCAAATCAGTTATGGTTCATTTTTGTACATGAACCTCCTCTAAAAATCAGAATCGCGGATGGATTGGAAAACAAGGTTAGTTAAATACTTTCGACCTACTTCAGATGCTGGGAAATGTGAAAACATTCATCAAAACGTCTTTTAGTGAACGACCTTAAAACCAGCATTGACTCATATTAAGTAAAATTTATCAACAAGTTCATCAAAAGTAGAATATCAGATCAAACATCGAAATTTAGTTTTTAGCATAAGGTAGTATTTTCAACATCTGTTATTTATTGTTTGTAACTCAAACGATATTGAGTCATTAGTTTTGGACAATAGGACACTATTAAGTAGTCTCCAGTTATGTTCACTGGAAATGTTAATGGGACAGTTTTGTGATCAGCATTTCCTTCACCATACCTTAGTTGTTTTGATCACTTCCAACATTAGCAATTGCCTCTACTGATATAGTGTAAAAACTGAAATATTGTTAGCTTTCCGTTGATTATCCTGTGTTTTGGAGGTCACATGAGATGAAGTTTGATTCTTGTTCGAATACTGTGAACAATCTACCACCTTGCATATGCGGTTATTACAAGCAAGATGATAATTCGTTAAGTACAGAAAATAATGAGTTTCTACTTGTTTATTCACTGACCAAAATGAAACAATTCAACCTCATTCCGTTTATGCAGGAAATCATATCATTATAAAATTCAAAGTGAAAGTTCATTCCAGTTGAGCAACTAGATATTCTGTATTTATAATCCTGGAGTTACGTAAACGTCCTGTAACTGGACAGTTTGTCAAACATCCGAGACTGTCATTCATTTTAAAGTTTTGGTTGGTTAAACAAACCACTCAATAAGATTGTGGAAGTAAGGACGTCTGGTAACAGTGAGGACTCGAGATAAATAACACTTGATCTATAAACATGTTCAAGAGTTTAGTCATATACTGGAAACCAAAACAGAACAATATTTTAAAACTGAAGCTATGTTTGGAAACTAAAGAAGCATAAACAACTCTGAGATTAACTTGGACCCATATTTCACTGTGATGTGTCACATATTTATCAACACCCGATGGGTTCATTATTACTTTACACATATACCACTGTTAAGCATGTAAATTTAAAAGTGTGTAATTTGTGAAGGGTGATATTTGAATTCAACTCAATTTTTAGACACATTATCTCACATTTACCTAGGTGTGCAAACTTTAACTGAATGTCTTTTTGCAAAGCAGTATTACGTCGAGAATAATGTCAATAATATTACGGAATCTACAGTCGTCGTCATGAATATCCATCTCCTGAGATATTGCAGTAACAAACATATATGGATTTTACTTTATTTAGAAGTAGACCTTAATGAAATCGTATTATTTGCAACTGTGCGGTACTGTCTATGAAAGTATTGAACTGACAGTGGTAGGGTTTGGAAGTATTTTCTTCGCAGATTGATGACTGCTTCTTAATAGCGAAGTGTATAATTGATTGAGTCTATCCTGTTTATTTGCAATGTATTTTCGCTAATTAGAAATCATCTGCTGACACAAACGACTCGACGCAAGAAAAAAGGCATTCATGAAACATGCACTCATATTGTTCGATTACATGCCCCAGTTTGACGTGGCTTAATCCGTTTTCAAAGGGTACCAGAAACAATTACCTACTCGAAAACATCAACTCTCGAATTGGTAGTTACCAGTACATGACTAGACCGTGGAGATATTTCTCATATTGACATTTTAAAATCATTTTTCAAATGTCTAAATGTTTAACATATTTTGGTGTTTTTCACTCAGGTCAACTACACAATCACTTATCGAATGGATTCAACAATTTATCTACCGTATCACAATTATGTTCCATCTGTTGCTAGTCATGGTCCAGATACAAAATACAAACTTCCTTCTCGTAACTATGCCACTGGTAAATCTAAAATGGTAGCATGGTTTGTAAGCAACTGTCAACCTAAAAGTCCAAGAATGATTTATGTCAGAGAATTGTCTCGTTATATTCAAGTGAGAACCCAGATTATATAGTTATCGATCTCATTTCTTTTGTTTGTTTAGAATCGTCGCGATACGTGACGAGTTCCAATGACAACACGAGTTTTAGTGTTGTATTTTAGGTGAACACTTTTATCAGACCAAAGCTCGATTTAAAGAGTGGACGGAGTATAAATTTGCCTCGTTGGTTAAATTAATGTAGAGATTTTCGTTAGTTTGTTTAGTCCAAGAATAATATGTATACACATTAATAATCAAGTCAATCTCTTCAACCTGATTTTGTGTAACAATGTTCGTTGTTGTTGTCACCAACTAGTTTCCATGACATAGTCTGACGTCCGGTTGCAAACTATTTCTGTTTATCGCTTATTTTTTAAATACCAGGTTTCCTTCAATGCTAGAGAAATAAACTGCTTATTCTTTGATTTATTTCATAGGTTGATATTTATGGTACTTGCGGTACTCTGACATGCCCTAGAGAAGTCGAAGATCAATGTTTTTCGCTACTTGGAAAACATTATAAATTCTACTTGAGTTTTGAAAATAGTTTATGCGCTGATTATATTACGGAAAAGCTTTTCGGAAATGCATTCAGGTAGGCAAACAATCGAATTTCAATAATATTGTTAGATGTTTACTACATTTTGAAAATCTTTCAGTTGATAGATTGAGTGTATTACCTCTATATGTTTGATGTGGCATTTGATGAACATAGTATATCGTTTGTTATTTTGCTACTAACTCTCGATGAACAAAATTACTTTATCGCTGTACTAAATCTTCATGGAGTCAAATAAACCGGATGAATATATTTTAGAGTGTGTGAAATTGATTTGGTAGATACGTGCAGTACTGTATTTGTTCGATGATAACAGTATTCCAAAATTGATGAAGTTTAGTTAGTTTCAACAACACATACCGTGATTTTAGTAATCTGTAACATATCACTCATTTTCACAAGATAGATTTGAGTGGTTACGTTTAATTATCTGTGATGACTAGTTTATTTTCTCTCCCTTCACTTGTCATTTCCATCACCTCACTAAAGCATTCAACTATTGTATCTGGTTTGTTTAATTAACATAGCCAAAATGTAATTCCAGTTGTGATGGGTGCATCAATTGAAGAATGTAAGCGTGTTGCTCCTCCTCATTCATTTATCCATGTGGACCAGTTTGAATCCCCAGCAAAACTTGCCGATTATTTGAAGTATTTGGACAGAAATGAAACTGCCTATAATGAATATTTCGCATGGCATGAACATGGGACTATAGGTGCTTGGTCACCTATGCCTCAATGTGTTATATGCTTATTAGCCCATACTGCTCATAAACTGAAACCGTATATATTCCCAAACGTTTCGAAATGGTGGAACGATGGTTGTGTTGGTCGGAAAATACGCTGGAATTATATCCATTAGCAAATTTTTAGAGTTTTGAATAGTACTTATATGACAGGTAACTATGATTTTGGCTCTGTATGATATGAAATAATTAAGTTTTTATTAGTTCGTTATTTTTATAAAAAGTTCACTCAAAACTATTTATGGGATTCTTTAGACAAAATAACCTGTGTTTGTCAATATTTCCAGTTTATTGTCTCTACAACATAAATTTCTAACCAGCATAATCTACTTAACAGCAATTAATAGTATACAAATTGTGTAAAGATTAATGAAATTGTAAAACTATCAGTCAATAGAATTCAACAATATCTCCTTTTTACAAAATGAATTTCATATTCAAAAATCTTCTAGAAATGAAAAAATGTTTTACACAAATGTGATGCTTTACTCTAATGTTCTATAAATTTTTGTCTTATTGGAATGTTCAAATTGGTTATTGGCATGAACTTTAATGATTGTTTATGGATTATTTTGTTTAGCTCTTCTATTTATTTCAATAACAAATGGGTCATGGTCACAATACAATAATAAGAGGAAACAATGAAACAGAATGATTAGAACCTATATTGAATAATTGTTTAACCTAAAAATAGAACGGTAGAGAAGTAGGTTTTACAACAGGTTGACAAATATAAACCTAATTTTGCATTTATTGTTACAATTGTTTATGGGTTAGATGATCCACAGATGATCAATTGAGAAAACAAGATAGTCGATTTCTAAAATTATCAAATGACTTATGATCGATTATCGTTGACTGAGTTGACCGAATGTGACTGATACCAAAGTGAAATAAAGAAAACATTCTTAGAAACGACAAATGTTCCTGGACTGACTCATATTATTGACACACCAGTAGAAAAGCTAACGAAACCGATGCAAAGCTATAGAAAATGTATTTCTTTAGAATGGCTAGCTAATAATATTGGAAGTGCTTCAGCGTAGCTTCGAAACTAGTAAGTAGGTTTCTTGTAAAATATAATTTGTTGCACAAGTACAATATATATGTGCGACTGTTTGTGTCGTTCATCCACGCTTCTTCTCTCGTTTGATAAAGAAAGAATTCACAAGCTTTTCAATCTATTCACAAGAGTCACTGCATTTATTTACTATTATAACAGTTCTTATAACTGGTTGTCCACCTTTTACAGAAGAATAACTTATCGATCTACACAATGATACACAAAACCCATACGAGCAGTCTAGAGCACATGTCAGTCCTACTTTTGCCTAGCCAGTGGTAAGCTACTGGATGGTAAGCTGTTATTTTGATATGGTTTACCACTAGAAGTTTATTGAACTCGTTAAATAGGACGGATTGAATTTGGGGACCATGATGTGCAGTGATTATCGACGGTACTCCATAGTTTGATATCCAGCGATCAAGGAAATCGGATGCAGCTGTTTGTGTGGATGTGTCTTTCATGGGGCATGCTATGGCCCATCTTATGGACCTGTCCACGGCGATGAGAATGTGCGTGAATGAGTTTGACGATGGCAGGGGCTCAACTGAGTCCAAATGTATATGTTGTAAACGTTTGTCGGGGATAGGCAGTTCCCCGATTATGCTGATAGTGTGTTTTTGGATCTTGCTGCGTTGGCACTGTAAACAGCACGTGTCCAACGTTTAACATCCAAATTGATCTTTGGCCAAACGAAGCGTTCTGTGATGGGATTTTTGGTAGCTCTGATGCCTGCATGTGAAAGTTCATGTAGCTGCTGAAATGCTTTTCGTCGACAAGCTTGTGACACATAGGGGCGATTGTTACCCGTCGAATTGTCGCAAAAGATAAATGGGTCTTTGAAAGGAATGGGTACAGGTTTTAGGTTCAAGTTAGACTTTTCTTTGCAAGCTTTCAAGTCTGCATCGTCTACTTGTAGTTTGGCTAAGGTTTTCAGGCTAATATAGTGGTTGTTTATCATCATGTTGATATTCTTTCTAGATAGGTCGTCTGCGACAATGTTGGAGTAGCCTTTGATAAAACAAATGTCTGTAATGAATTGAGAAATATAATCTACTTGTCTGTCTTCCCGCGGAGAATGCCTGTTGTACGATGTGCTAAAGGAATAGCAAAGGGTTTGTAACCAGTGATTATGGTGAAATCACGGTCCTGTAACAGGAAGTTGAAATGTTTTACAGCTAAATATGTAGCCAGGAGTTCACGTTCGAAAGTGCTATAACGTTCTTCAGTTGGCGATAATCTTTTTGAGAATGCTATGGAAGTATCCTTGTCGTTATGGCACTTCTGTAAAACCTCTACTGCTTTCTGGAGAGTGTCGCCGCAGAGGATTAGATGCATCGTAGGGCCAGTGTTTAAATGCTGTAACATGGAAGCGTTAGATATCATCGCTTTTGCTTTAACAAAGGCGTCTCTGGCATAGAGGGGTAACATGAAGGCATCATCTTTTTGGCACTTGCAGCAGTTTTATCTATCTTCAGCAAGTCTGTCAAGGGTTCTAAAGTATGCGCGCAGCTAGGGAGGGAATGTCGGTAAAAGTTGCACATCCCCAGAAATCGACAGAACGCTTTTATCGACTTGGGGTCGGGGTAGTTGATAATGGCTTCAACTTTTTCTTCGAGTGGTTTAATTCCATGGGAGTCAATGTGGTGTCCCAGGAATTTCAGAGCTGAGGTGACAAATGCGCACTTCGACGGATTGCTCACTACGACATAACTTTTGAACTGATCGAAAAGGAAGTGTAAATGCTGAACATGTTCTCCCCATGGATGAGATAGCGATCAAAACATCGTCAACATAGACAAATACGAAGTCTAAACCTCTTGTAACCTCATCCGTCTGAAACATCTGAGCTGTGTTTTTTAGACCGAATAGCATTCTTAAGAATTCGAACAAACCAAAAGGTGTGATTGTGGATGTTTTTTCAATATCTTCAGAAGCCATCTGTATTTAGTGATATTCTCTTACTAGGTCTAGCTTCGAAAAGATCTGTTTTCCGTGCAGATTTAGGGAAAAGTCAAATAGATGAGGAATGGGATACCTGTCCGGAATGGTTTGATTATTTAAACGACGGCGATCTCCACATGGGCGTCAGTCTTGATCTTTCTACGGGACCATATGTAACGGCGCGGCCCATTGACAACCAGACTGCCGAATGATGCCTAGTTGCATCATGTGCTCAAATTTTCGTTCACCGATCACTAGCTTGTGTGGAGGTAGTTTTCTCGGCCTGGCACGAATTGGAGGACTTATAGTAGTGATGGTGTTGTACGTGGTGTGTGTTGCGTTCGCTTTCATAATCAACTCATGTTTCGACAAGATATCGGTCTTACCATTCGAACACCATGCATTTCGTAACTGACGGTAGTTGTGCCGTTAACCTATAAGCTTGTGTTCTTGTCCATTAGCTTCTTTTTACTCAGGTCTACTAATAGGTTGTAAGTACTGTGAAAGTCGGTTCCGAGAATGGGTTGTTTGCCTTCAGCTACGATGAACACACGTGTAAATCTTCTGCGGAGACCGGAGTCTAAAATTAATGACCGTTCACCATAAGTTCTAATGATAGTGTTGTTGGTTGCGACGAGGGATAATTTATTACACTCAGAGTGCCGTCGTTGAGAGAGATGTAGTGGGAAGATGCTGATTCGGCTCCAGTATCGACTGAAAGTCTGAGCCAGAAATTCGGTCACTTATTGAAAGAGATGGCTTGGATAGTATCCACAAACAGGCGCTGCCATCACTGTCTGGCCGGGTCGTTTCCCCGATTTTCCGTATCAGTTGAAGAAAATATACAGCGTCCAGTACAACACGTGCTTTAGTTCCGTATTTTTGAGATACCAACAAACTTCGGATGTTTGCTTCGGTGAACGAGACCGTTGTCTAGAAAAAGATCTTCGTTTGGAAGGGGATCTTAGTTGTCTTGCTTGGACGGTTGCTATTGTCATCTGTAGTGACGTTAGTTGACTCGTTAGTTGTGGTAACTTCCTTTGGGAAGAGGCTAAATAATGATATCTTCTGCTCCAGATGGTCGCACAGAGTTCACGCAGTTACTATCGTGGTAAACTCACATTTTGTCCGCCATGTGGGCTAAATCATCAAGGGCTACAGTTTCCCCCGAGACACTAAGGATTTGTCTAAAGTCATGTGGTAATCATTGAAGGCACATTTGTTTTAGGAGGGCTTTACTCAGTTTGTATGGGCCCGCTAGTTGCTTCATGTGTTGAAGAAGTTGAGAGGGTCTCTTGTCTCCCAGATCGCAAGATGTTAACAATTGTTGTAGTCTTTCTCCAGCTGAGACCGAAGTGTGTTGAATTACAGCTGCTTTAATCTTATAGTATGGTTCCGACTCAGACACCTGATCCATTAATTCCCCAACCTCAGCAGCAATCTCAATGTGGAGTTCACCGACTGCATATACATACTTTGTCACCTGTGAGTGTATGCCTTTAGTTATGAATAAAGCTTCTATTTGGGCAAACCAGACCCTTGGATTACTATTTCTGTATGTTGGGAGTGCGAATTCCGAGATAGTATTAACTGAACATGTAAGATCCATTTTGAACGTGAAAATGTGAAAATCCCTCCATGCATATATTAATAGTTTCCTCTTAATGTTTTCTTTATTTGTACATGATTGTTAGTATTTCTGATGCCATTTTCGATTGCGGTGTTTTATTTTGTAATAGTTTTCTCAGTATTTCGGTTGCTTTCATTGGGTTTCTATATTTCTTCTTGAACTGTATCTAATTTCTTTTAATTTTTATTAATCTGGCGGCTGCCATATTGACTGTTTGCTCTTTGATTGTGCGGTTTGATTTTGACTGGGATCGTGCATTTTGGTTGTAAATTGGAACACTTTCCCAGAATTGGAAACACTTCGTGTTATAGAACAGCCGCTCAACCGGAATCTTAATTGATCGATCCAGAAAGGATAGAATAACCCTTACTTTTTAGTGTGTTCGGTAAATTTTCATATATTTCCTACCTTTTTGCTATTTATTGTAATTTAGATTGATTATTTTAGGATCAATTGTCGGTTGAATAACTGTGTAGTAATATTTGTATAGGTAAATTTGTATATTTGTATATATGATGAATTTTAGAACCGTTGTTACCCAAAACACCTTGTTCTGATTTCGATTGGCAAACGCGTTATTGCACTTTTACTCTAGTTATTCAGCCAAAGCCAAACCTATTGGAATTTAGGTTTGGATCTTACAGAACTTCAAATGTTTTCAGTAGCGTATGACAATGAGACAATAGTGGTTATAGGAGGAGATTCCATATCAGTAAGTTTGGTTGGAGAGGACAATCCTTACCTGTTCCCATCTGTTTGATACGCAGTTTTAGAGTTATCGAGGATAACTCGTGTTGAATATCAGTGTCTTCTTTTTGAGGCCGAGCGAGTTTAAGAAGGTCGATTCCTT